TTGTGTGTACATTCGAGCGCCATGAACATCAAATATTGCCTTTAACATTTGCTATCTCTATGCAAGACTCGATACACTAATGTGTAATGTCTATTATATGCCTTTCAAAATTCGCTCTCTCTATCTCTTCCTCTCTCTCTCGCTTGCTCGCGCACGATTTTTATTTGTTGTCTTTCCACACTCTACGACCACACTAAAAAAAAAACAACGTTTAAAAACAAGATATTGGCTAATCGATATAAAAAAAGATTTCATGCGCTTTGACCACAATCTGAAATGTCAGCTGGTCTTTTATTTCCGAATTAAATCAATTCATACAAAGCATAAATATTTACGTTATTTTTCTCTCGTCAACATATTGTTCCTTTTTCGCACTATCTCTAACGCACTTCGGTTTTTATTCTATTTGTCACTCGTCTTTGCTGTCACACTAATTCCGGTGTCCACTTGGACAGTAGCACGTTATCGCTAAACAACTTATCAAAACTCTTTAATCTTATACGCATCATTTTAAACAACAACAAAAAAAAATATGACTTTATAGCAATAAAAATCATAAAATTGTTACTATCATTAATGCCGTATCCCTTTTTTATGCACACACTATTTATGTAAACACTTGTTAAGAGTTTTATGTATGGCGCACGAATGTGTGTATTGTTTTGGTTTCAAACAGAGAATAAACGCACAACTGTGCATGTGTTTTTAATGCGAACATTCATAATTAAGTGGATGTTGTGGCTTTCCTGTCCCTATTCAACCTGGCCAAATCAGTGTTATGCTCCTGCTCTCTTCCAATCTTCAATCGTTTACATACTTTTTCTTTTATTCACATTTGCTATTGCTGTTAACACACACGCACACACACACTGTATATTGGTGTGTGTGTATACATAAGCATTGGAGCTAGTATGTTCATGTTTATATGTGCACATATCCATTCGATGTGATTAAGTATTTCGCAATGTGATTGTTGTCTTGTTATTTATTTCATTGGTTCGTTCATTCGTTTTCATTGCATGACTTCTATATACGATATTTTGAACGGCGTTTTTTTTCGGGTCTGTCTCTACGTTCACGATACAAGAGCAACAGAACGAATGAACGAACGTAAATGTCGAGACGAAGAAAATATGAAGAAAAAAAAATTTGATAATGATTGTTACACGAGACAAATTTTCATGGATAATATTCTCAATGTCGATATTTGTACACATACAAACGCTCGTACATACATCAACAATCCATCGACTAGACAAATATCTGAGAAATTCAAATGTATTTGTTCTTCTGTATTCTTTTTCATAGACTTTTGTCGTCTTTAAATTTTAAATTAAAGCTCAACACACCAAAATGTAATGACGAACATTTTCACACAGACGAGAGAAGAAACAAAAAATTAATAAATAACTACTAGCACCGAATAGACGGATTGAGCACAAAATGTGAAATGATAAATTGAACGAACAAAAAGCTGCAACAGCAGCAACAACAAACATCGAAGTGAATGAAGAACGCAAAAACCAAAATGAAATAAAACAACGACGACAACAACCACCACCAAATAGATGATTTTTGTTAATAAGTTAATGATTTCGTTGATGTTTTCGTTCGGTTACATGTTTTGAATGCTGTGAGAGTGATCGTCACAGGTTGTTGTTGCTATTTCCAGTGGTTTATTTATTTGTTTCCGTGAAATGCCAACCGAATGAGATTTCAAAAAATTATATCAAAGAAGAAAAAAAATTCACCATCTATCGTCTTTTTGTGTTACTTCAAAACATAAATTTTCGTTTGCAATGACTCAGTTTCTACGAAATTGGTCCCTTTTGAATATTAAATTTGGGTAATTGTTCATTCACTTAACACCATTCGTAGAAGCGTTTATCAATTTGTATAAGGTTCTTGCATATGGAAATATTTGCATTGCTCAATTCCCGCAAACAGACCTAAAAATATGTCAAGTGATTTGTTGATTCGAAATGATTCAACTCCAAAACACGTTTCATTGGTTAAAATGGATCTCGATCGAGATAATTGTTACCATTTTATGAGAATGCAATTAAATGTTTCGCTTCAATGGCTTATACAAAAATAAATGCATCTAATTTCGCAAGAGCACGTAATTGATGGATCTAATTCATATTCGATAAGAAGAAGAAGTCAGTGTACAATATGAACAGAGTACGAAATTATAGAACTTCTTTAAGTTTACTCGAAGAAGAAGATAATATGAAAAAAATTGTTATAGACATAAGCCGTGAGCGAACAGTGAAAAGTGCAAGAACGTGTGTGTGCGCAAGAGAAAATAAGAAATTCATTCGCGATGAATCATTGCATTCAAAATAAATATTTTGACTTATCTACACGTTTTGTATGCATCTTTTGCAAAAATATTATGTACATCAACATGGTTTGAAGCGTGTCTGGTCTTGCAAAAATCTCTAAACACAATTGTGAATACAACAGTACATTCGCAATTTTATGAAAACATTCAACGTGTAATTTTCGTTCGATAAGAATCGTGATTCGTTGTTGAATGAATGTGACGACATCGGCTGGGTCAACCATCCCCGAGAGAATATTAATTCATTATATGAGAAGTGATACTGCACCATGATCATCATTAATGCGCTCATCTCTTGGATGTCGGTTGACTGTGACATGAAATAGTTTAATTTTGTTTCGAATTTTTTATGTATTTTAAATAATTTATTTATCTGTCTATCTATCTCTTTTTGCCTCGCTGTCTTTCGCTCTCGTCACATCAACATTGTATACGCAACAAGCGCACTAAAAGTAACAACAACATTAACACCAACAACAACATTCACTATAAGCAATTGTGGAGCGCGTTCACGCTCTTCTATCTCTCTATTTTACTTCTATTTTAATCTATTCCTACTTATTTCAATCGTTTACTCAATATTTGTTTCTGTTGCTGCTTCACACACAAACACACACATACATATTGGACACGCACACCACCGCCAAATTTGCCATTTTATCGATTCCTTCTCGAAAAATTTCGATTTTATTTTATTTTTTATTTCTCGCATTTCTCGCAATTTTTATGCTTGTGTTTTTGGCATTGCTTGTCATCGCTTGGGCGATGGTTTTTTTTTCTTTCCTCTTTCAGTTCCGACAATTTGATTGCGTTGAATTTAACTTGAACAAAAATGAACGAAAAATGTTTCAACGACTGTTCATTTCTGATTGATCTGTCACCAAAATTACGACAAAGTATTCTGAAAGCACTTTTATCGCTCGAGACCACACGAATGTGGTATCTTCTTTTTGTGTGTGTTTGTGTGTGTGGTTTGTTCGATGTCTTCGTGCATACGATGCATAATGTCCAAATATTGAAAATTTGAAGTCGAAAGAAAAAGCATGGAAAGAAATGTATGCATGATTCATTTCAAACATATATAGTTTTTCATTTGAACGAAAAAGAAAAAAAATGTTGCATATATTTTCTTTTGGATCAATATGAACGAAATTTTTGCAAACACAAAAGGCACAAAGAGCATAAATCGTACTTTGACGAAATAAAAATATAAAATACAATTTTTCGTTTCACATGAAATCGCTTTTGCCTCGAACTCAATTACGATACACACACATACACATATTTTATGCATACATACAATTCCATTCCATTCCAAATTAAGAAAAAAATACAAATTTAATCGTTTAAAACTTTTTACACAAAAATAAACGTACATACAGCAAAATACATAAGCTTTCTTTATCAATTTTAGTGCTTGTTTGTGTGTATGCTTTTGATCTGCCAATGTATGGATTTTTCTTTTGCTTATTTTTTTTTTAAATATTAAATTTGTCTGCTTATGTGAGTATGTTTTCTTCTTCTTCATTTTTTTGTTATTGTATAAAATATTATTATTACTATGTTTTTATTCATTCTTTCATATGTTTCACTTTTCGTTGTTGGTTCGCTTTAAATTTCGCCTTATTTGGCTACTTTGAATCGTCATTGGAAAAATTTGTTGCTCGCTCGCGAATACACAAAACTTTTTCACAATATCATATGAAACTTTGTAAAAAAAAAAATGCAATGCGTAGAAGAAAAAGAAAACAACAACAAAACTGACCGGGACTGAGTGTGTATGTGTGTAGATGATTATGATTGAGTCGAATGTGAGCGCTGATCGATTGAGGTGACAGACACTAGACTGACTGGTGTATGTGATGATGTGATTATTTTGATTTCAATGTTTGCACAAGATCGTTTCTCGTGAGAAAATGGAACGAATCTATTCGGTTTGCGATTGATAAAAATACACTTTTCATTTGTGTGGCGTTTATATTTCTTTTTTTCTCTATCTTCGTTAGCTATGCTTGAAATTCTTTGATGTCACGATTTTCGGGTGGCTCAATTAAACGAACGATTCACATTTTATTTGCTTTATGTGGATATGTATGTGATGTTTTCGTCATCATTTCTTCTATTTGCGTACGACTCTAGTGTTTTAAAAAACAACAACACCAAAAAAAAATATGCAATTGCTTCAAACGAATCTAATGACAGACGCAATTTTAGCTGATACTTTATTTTGCAAACCTGCATAATAGTGCGACCATGTGTATGTTGTTGATTTGCGGTGTACGTGTTTGTGTGTACACGCTTGTATGGATGTGCGTGTGTGTGTGTGTGAGTGTAAGTGTATATGTAATCGCGATTGTGTGCGATGTACGTTGGCAATTGTGTTGTACATATCAAGTTTATGTGACTCGCGAATTGCAGCGAGCTTAACTTTTACTTTTCTTTGCCATTTACTATTTACCCCAAAAAAGTGTATTAGTACATCATCACAAATCACTTCCCATTTGGCATGAACAATGTGCCGAAAACCCTCAAAATATGTACATATTCAATTTGGAATCTGTGCATGTTTTTTTTTTTTTGGATTTATGTGAGATTGAAAATGGTAGTAAAAACAAAACAAAAATGTGTAACGTGTTTACGCAATTTCTCTCACTTGTTTTCGTGGATTTCGAGATTCGATGGTTGGATTCCCTCTCTTTATCTGTCTCGTCAGTGTGTGTGTTATTGTGTGCCTCGTGTGTTTAATTTTCTCTTTTTTTCTCTTCTTTGATTTTGCAACAAAATAAACTATTATTTTTCGCTTCTCTTTCCGAATTTTTCTTCGGATCGCTTTTTTTCTCTTCTTTTTCTTGCTCTCAAACAATTTTACAAACAACAACTTTTCTTTTTTATCTATTTTACCGATGGAATTTGACGTTTTTTTCTGTCTTTCTTCAGCTTTTGCTGTATATACTACGAAAAATTTCGTCTGGATCTCGTGTATGCGTAGCAATTCTCTAAACTTTTTTTTTGTTCGGTGGTGGTTGTTGTTGTTGCTTCTTTTCAACTCTTACATTCAAAAACTTTGTATCAATTGATAAACTTTACGTTCTCTTTCGTACCTTATTTTTTGCTTTGTTTTAAACTGCGTGTTCTCTCGATTTATTGCCGTTGTTGGTTAATTTGTTTCGTTTGTTTTTTTTTACTTGTTTACTATAAACTGACTATAAAATAATAAATTCGATTTAATCGAGAAAATAATAATTTCAGTTTCTGTGTTCAATTTTCAGATTACGTTACGTTCTGTGTCTAAATGTCGAACGTTTTTTTTTCATATATATGTCGTTTGTGAGTTTGAGTGTATTTTCTCTTTTTGTCTCGTTCTTTCGTTTCGGTCGTCGTCCTCTCTTTCTTACTTTTATCTTTCTTGGTAGCTCTCTGTTTCTCTTTCTTTATACTGACTGGGTCTTGGGTCTCACGATTTTATTTCTTATTTTACTTTTATGTTTCGCTTTTTTTTTTATTTCGCACCTTCACATTTGATACGCGATATTATTAAATACACATAGCTTCGCGTAAAATTGAACACAGAATAGCAACAATGATGGGCAAACTCAAACTTGAAATTATTATTTAAGAAAATCGATCTTATTATTTTGTATTTTGCTTAGTTGTCGATTGAATTGTTAGATTTTGTTATCAGAAATAAGTTATTTACTTTGTGTTTCATTTAGTTTTATTTATTTATTTATTTAAATTAATGTTTTTCTTGTATGTATTTATGTATATATATATGGATATCACTTGCGAACGGTATTTTAGATGGATTTTAATAAGCGACGTGTTGCCGCGACGGAGCCCGTCGCTAGACTGCAATTGTTCGGTTATTTTCGTTTCAATCGGTACAAAAATGACACACAAAAACAACAACATACTACCTCACAACTACATGGACACTCTCACACTGTTCACTATAACAACAACAACAACAATATACGATTGGCTGAACCGTTCGACCGACTGACAACACTGAATGAGTGAATGGAAAAATTTTGTGTGTCTCAGTTTCAATTGAGTCGGTCGAACGAAGTTCGAAACCGAGATGCTTTAGACGCACGGAATTTTTCTCTCTTTCTCTCTCACACACACACTCTTTTTCTATACAAATACTTGGTTGATATACGAATATTCAAATTCGCTCAAAAAAAAAATTCAATTACATTTTAGGTTTTTTTTTTTTGTAAGAAAAAATAAAGAAAAAAATGTTCAATTTTCAAAAGATAAATGTTTGGCGTAAAAATATTTAAAATGTCGAACGGTTAAAAACTGAACTCATCGTCTCATCGAAAATAAATCTAAAGTAATCATCTCACATACGGTAAAGATTTTTGCATCTCATTCTCATACACGGTTCTCTCGTTCATTCTCATTTTCGTTTCCATATTCGTCTATTTTCTTCATTTACCGCAACTGGTCCATCGTCTATATTTCGACGATATACTTCCCTTTTGTTTCGCGAATTCTACATATGTATATAGATTCGTACACAGAAATCGGCTGTTGCGCACTCGACAAACCGAAATTTTATTTACGTACGATCATATCATACATACATTCATACAGATTTAGCCACCAATCACATCATATGCTCACTCACAAGAGATCGTGAAAGGCAAATGATTAGCAAATCTTGTTCGCCGAACAAGAAAAACCGAACAATCGAATGGCCCCGTCACTCGACTGTTCACCATAAATGTGTGTTGGTGAACCGGATGAAAGGTTGGCAAATCACACACAGTGGCAAGTGAAAGAAATCATCGTGTAACCAATTTGTAATTGCTGTTTGTGTATATGTGTGTGTATGTTTTTTGACAGATGAAATACGCACACGTTCAATGCAATATGGAAACGGTTTTAAATATATACATATATTAACGGTTCAAACCGCTATTTGGCATAACAGGCGCGCGCACACATACACACACACGCACAACATGCTATGTACACCGTCAATTACAAATACACAACACATCTGATGAGCCTGGTTGTATATTTGTATAAAACACTTGTAAGAAAATTGCATACAGTCATCCACTGTATGTTAAACGGCACTGTGATTTTGTTTGTTACATTGACACTTTTTTTTATACATTTCGGTTTTTAATTTTCAAATTTTTCGTTGGAAATTTGACATTTTCACCATGTGCGTGTTGCCAGTTTGAATTCGATCGTTTTTTTTTTTCAATTTTTCTTTTATTCGTTTGTTAAACTAAAATATTTGTGAAATGGAATATTAAACCATTTCATACCAACTTAACTTAATTTCGATCATTTTCGAGTTAATTCGAGCAACACTCATGTTTTTATATGATTTACAGGCGGATTTGGTTTATATCATCGATGGGTTTTGTTGATCTTTGTTATTAGTTATGGTATTTTTTTATTTGTGTTTCATTCAAAAAAAAAAAAACTATTTCAATTTTCTATGAAGCTGATAACGATAACCACATGTCTCGTTATCAGATTATCGTTTGCAAAAAAGAACACACTGATAAAATATTGGCACAAAAGATGAAAACTTACCCGAAATTCCAAAACAAAAAAGCGACTTAGTGGTTTTGTCACACATCTGACCATCTGGTGAGAGAGCACTGCGAATGACTGTCAATAGTCAAGAATTGTTTTCAGAGTCCACAAATATGACCGCAAATGATAAGATGAGACAACAAAAAAAAAAAAAAAACAACAACATATAACAAGTTTTGTCATTCCATTGTTCTTTTTTTATTAGATTTGCTCCAATATTTTTTTTTCGTTCATTCTTGTGTTTATGAGATAAAACTGTTTTGAATTAGGCATAGGCAATTTATTTAAGTGCAAAGTTTTTTTTTCCCTTATTTCTTTTCTTTTCTCCTTCTTAATTGTTTTCTGCTTCTTTTTTGTATAAATTTAGTTAGTTAATTAGAAGAGGTGAAATTCTCCAAAATGCAAACCAATTACATATAAATTTCATACACTTTATCACACTCAAAGGTTGTTGTCGTTCATTTTTCGTTTCAGTTTTTTTTCTATCCTTCTCTCGTTCATTTATTACAACGTCTATCTATCAACTTAAAATATCATCCCTTTTTTTCGTATTAACGATAACACTTACACCTTTTGGTGTACGTGTGTCGGTGTGTGCTTAAACAAAAGTCGAATCAATTGTTAAAAAAAAAAACGTTGTAATGTAAAGATGTGATGAGCTACGTTTTTCCTCGCTTGAATCGTTGGCGTGCCTGTGCTTTTGTGTAGCGTGTTCGATTTGTATACGGTTCGCCTTCAGCGCCACCATCATTCGTTGTTTGATCTGTGGGTTTTTTAAATTCATCAAGCAAATTGACCGGTGGCTCCAATAGACCGATCCTCTGTTGTTTTCGATAGTAAAGATAACCACGTGATATGCCATATCCCATGGCCGATACTACGACTATCATTAGAATCATTAAGGACGGATGCTATGGAATAGGCAAAAAAAACGAAATTTACACATGGAACTATTCAAGTAATGGACTCTAACAATAACAATTCTTACCGATAATGTAGGAGTTTTCGTAAACAAATCCGATATTACAATTATAACACCAAACAAAGCGCCAATGCCAATTCCGAACCACGGTACACGTCTTTCAACTAAGTTAAAACATTTTTTTCATCACATTATAATTTAAATGGGAAGAGGAGAGTGAGATAGAGAGAGAGAATTGTATGATGCTTACATTCCGTGTCGGAGCTACTAAGTTCGGCGATGCGTTTGGCAGCATTCAAAATACTGATGTCGTTTGGTTGCAATTGCAATGCTCGGCTGTATAGTAAAAATGATGAATCATATTGACCTGCAGCTGCTTGTACTTCGGCCTTTCGAAAGTATCCCTTTAAATATAATGATTTAAATTATTTTTTTTTTCTGTTTTTAATGATTATATTTTCTATATTAAAATAAAAATACACGGTTTCGGTCTACTGAGAAATTCGAACACCTGAAGTAGACGACCCGAATCCCAGCCGACTCAACATTTTCTTGGATCAGGCTCGGGTGGTCATCGGTTGGGCGTTCTGGTCGGGCCTTCGTGCGACCTTTGGACCTAAATCGATTCCCAAAAAGAAAAATGCTTACCTTCGCCCAATCTGGTTTCAATTGAATTGCTTTTTCAGCATCTTCATTGGCATAATATAATTGATTGAGTTTCAGAAATGCCAACGATCGATTACTATAAAATGTTGCTTCATTTGGATTCAATTTTATGGCGAAGTTATAATAAAGAATGGCTTCGCTGTATTTACTCGCTTTTATACATTCATTTCCGCGCTCTTTGTGATCATTTGCAGTTTCAGGCTGTCCATTTTCAGTGGCTGCATTCTCATCCGCACTTTTACCACCACCGGCAACATCATTTGTCTACGCCACACACAAATGAGCACATACAATGACAAGAAAATGACATCAGTTAATTTTTCGATTTTGATCAAATAAAAATCAACCATAACCTAAAGCCAAAATGAACAATTTGGGTCTTACCATTGTATTGCTATGTTTAAAGCTATAACGTTTAATAACTCAACGAAAATGTCTTTGAGACAGAAACCAATAGAGAAAAAAAACAACAACAACACACAAACACACGAAAATCACCACCAAACTATTATTTTTGGCGAAACGGTGTGCTTAAACAATGTATTCTTTTGTTATGAAAAATTCATTGAAATGCAACGTTTCGATTGTGTGTCCAGATGAAAGTTGAAAAAAAATATATATATAAAAATTGGAACAAACTATCTACTATGAAAATCAAATAAAATGAATGTAAATAGGAAAATGCACGCAATTCAATTGATACATCAATTGTTTTTGTATTTGAAACTGATGTGAGTTAAAAATTAATTTTAATTAGCGCACTGACAACTAATTTATCCGCTTTGATTGTCGAAATTATGTTATTATCGTCAGTGGATGTCGATGACAACGACAACGATGAAGGGATTAAGCATGTCATTCCCAAGCCAGAAAGAGATAAAACCAATTTTCGGTTTGACATTTGCCGTATGCACGTGCATGTATGTGTGAGCCGTTTCCATATGTGTGTGTGCGATTGTGTATTTATTTTCTTTATCATTTTTTTTGACACAGTTTATTATTCAAACCGTAACTCTCGTACACGCATACTCACACATGGATATGCGCCCCAAAAAACATACACACAATCAAATAAATATGTTTACTCGACTATTGGTTGCTGTCAAAAAAAGAAAACGAGATTCACAAGAAACGATAACGAAACTAAGCAAATCGCTTTCTGCACACTTTTATGACAGTATATCTAAAAAATTCTACGTTATCGATATGCATGCGATGCATTTCTAACCATTGTCCCCAATTAGAATATTTCACAAATGCAAATGAATTGTTTTTATTAAAAGAAACATAAATATAATGTCGATGTTTATTGATTTGATTCTCTGATAAAATCAGATAAGTTTAATGCGCATTTCAAAAACGGTTAAGAGCAGAAAAGTGTACAAATTTTCATTAAAAAAAAAAGATATTTTTTTCTTCATAGAATTAAAACTTAATTGTAGGTCATATATCTTGGTGTGGCGCTAAATTTGGCATAACTCTTGATAACTTTGTTGACGGCTTCAAGGAAATCCTTTTCGGTGGCTACCTTACGTCTGGCTCGAATCGCAAACATACCAGCTTCAGTGCAAACCGATCTATTTTGACACAAAGACAAACAAACACAATTGAAAACAAAGAACAGCAGAGACAGAGAGAGAGGTGGGAAACTTACCGAATTTCAGCGCCTGTTGAATTTGGACACAAACGTGCCAACAATTCAAAACGAATGTCACGTTCAACGGACATTGAACGTGCATGAATTTTGAAAATATGTGTACGACCATCCAAATCGGGTAGACCGAATTCAACTTTACGATCCAAACGACCCGGACGCATCAATGCGGGATCGAGTGTGTCAGGTCGATTTGTGGCCATCAATACTTTGATATTACCACGTGGATCGAAACCATCCAATTGATTGATCAATTCTAACATTGTACGTTGAACTTCATTATCACCACCGGCACCATCATCGAAACGCGCACCACCAATCGCATCAATTTCATCAAAGAATATCAAACATGCCTTTTTCGAACGGGCCATTTCAAAGAGTTCACGTACCATACGTGCTCCTTCACCCACGTATTTTTGCACCAATTCCGAACCGATGACACGAATGAAACATGCATCGGTACGATTAGCCACCGCACGAGCACACAAAGTTTTACCAGTTCCGGGTGGTCCAAACAATAGCACACCTTTTGGCGGCTCAATTCCCAAATTTACGAATTTTTCCGGCTAACGCAAAACAATTGAAAAAAAAAAAGACATTGAATGCAACTGTAAATAATCTTATTTCTTATTGGAATTCGATTGAAATTTCTATGAAAATGTAAGATTTTATGAAATTTGATTGAAAAATGCTCGCATATACTTACATGAAGTAACGGTGTTTCGACGACTTCACGCAATTTTTCAATTTGCTCTTTGCAACCACCAACATCACTGTACGTAACATCTGGCTTGTCTTCGACCTGCATCATTGTTACAGTTGGATCGATTTTCGGTGGCAATGGAATATGAATTTGATACTTGTTACGATCCACGCTGAAATTCAAAAGGATTATGTTCTTCAATTCAAAGGTTCTTTATTTCGATAATTTTCGTCAATCTCTCCAATGATCATAAAACTGCTGAAAATCAAACATCATTTAAACTATAAAAAATGCTCGATACTTTGAAGAAACACTCGAATTTTGAGAGTTTAAATTTAAAAAAATGTTTGATTTTAAGCAGTCTCAAGAGACGACATCCACTTCTCGAAACTTACCCAACGCGCATTCCCTCTTCAATATCAGTTGGTGCCACTGAATCGGCCAAATCGACAACAAACTTTGCAAATTGTTTGACATTAATTATGTATTTTGGATCGTCTGAATCCGCATTGATGATTTTTGTACAACGTGCAACCTGTGTGGCGAACATTAGAATTATTTTAAATTCTCGTTTTTATCTTCATTGAATGCGAATCATTTTTTTTCTAATTGCAAAACTGCATTTCTGTAAAGCTGAAAGACAATATATACCTGTAGTGGTTGTTCATTCGTAAGGGTTTGTTTGTCAGCAGCCAAATCCCACAGTGCTGGTGCTGCCAAACCAGTGTCACTTTCTTTGATGCCAGTCAATTCGTTGACTTGTTTAATCGCTTTCTGAATATCATCTTCAATTGTTTTGATGCTCTTATGATATTGTCCTTGGCCCTATAATCGCCATCCCCAAAAAAAGAAGAAGAAACAACGCCACATTAATCAAAATTCCAAATTGTGCACCACAAATTCCAATTCCAACTTACATAAGTTTTCAAAAGTTCAATGTCGCCTTCATCAAGAGCTGTAAAGCGGGAAAAAAGTGGAGAATTAATTTATTTGAAATGTTGATTTTAATATTTTCATAGTGGAAATAAAAAATACAAACATTTAATTTCTTCATCTTTCTCTTCGATTTTCACTTTACGCATATCATCACCCAAATGATCCGGCATCTTTACGTATGTTTCTTCAACAAATTACGAACAAATTCAACAAAAATCGAATGCAATTTGAATCAAATTTAATTACAATTCGTTTTTCTTTTTAGAAAAACAAAACTTGTACACGAAATAGATGAATAAAATCGTTGTTTTCGAACGTTTAGATTTTGTTCGTCTTTCTACTGTGAACTATGTGTTTAATGATGATTACAAGCAACTTTTCCCATTGAACTGAACCAAGCCAAATGGGCGTGAAGTTGGTTTTCTTTTGACCAACAATTCTGAAGTTGATCACATATTGTGCGCAATTTGAAAATGTCGATAACGCAAATGAGACACAATAAAAATTGTTTTAAATTAAAAAAAAATTCTTCATCAAATGAAAAGTGTTTAGTTTGAATTTTCAATGTTTTCAACACGAAAAATAAATTAAATACTGTAAGTTTCACACGAAAATGATTAGACGATTGTTGCATACGTCATTGTGACACATTCAATTGTGTCGCTGCATGTGTGTTAGTGTGGATGTCGTGTAAGATGTTGATATGCATGTTCTGATTTGAACGTGTGATTCGTATTCGTTCTGTCAAACGAGAAATTTGTATTTGTTTGTTGTTTTTCGTTTAGATCTATTCTGCTGTGTGTTGAATTTGAATGAAAATTCGTTCGTACATGTGGAAATGTTTATCTGAGGTTTCACCTTCGTGACAATCTGTAAATAGACATGAAATACGATCCATTTTGGTATTGTATTGGCTTATATCAATTATTCTCTGTTGCTCTCTGTTACGCTCACTTTCTCATCGTCAATTCATCATGTGTCGTGTAATTATAACACGTTTTTTTCAATTACTGTGATACAACTGTAGTTCTCATTAAACTAAGCACTTCTCAGATCCAAATTACATTTAGATGGCAATTTAAATGATATATTTAAGTTAAAACTTGCGTGATTTAGTGTCATCGATTCGGGAAATCATCAAGGATTCGACGCAAATCAAAACAAATACCATATATAAAAGCTCCAGAATTTTGTGGATAGTTTTCACCTTTTTCTATTTGGTTGGTTGGTTACTGCGATTACAAAATCACGATTTCAAAACCAATTTTGGTGCACCACAATTTGCGGCAGCATAAATTATCAAATTGTCACCGATCGTTTGTAGTAATTTCGGGAAAAAATGCGAGTCGATAAAAGCAAGTCATATGAGGAAATCTCATATGAGGGAAAAGTGGCTGACGCAATTCAAGTAAGTCGACCAAAACCACAAACGTGAATTTTATTATCACAAACGTGAAATTCAATTTCCATTTACTGAATATAAGAGTGAGCAGCACTTAAAAAAAAAGTACCGCTCTTCTGTGGTAACCACAACTGATCTGGTTTCAAGGCTCATAATAAACAAATCTCAATATTTTCATTGAGAAAATGATCACATACATTGATTTGTGGTCACAATTTATTCAACGAATTTTATTTTCCCAATTTAATTTCAGGTGCTGAACAAAACACTTGACACATACGAAGCGAAAGAGATTTTCCTGTCGTTTAACGGTGGCAAAGATTGTACCGTACTATTACACATGTTTGTCAATTTGTTCAACAAACGATATCCAAACGAAACAATGATCTGTTTATACATCCAGCCCGACAATCCATTTGATGAAATTGAAGATTTTATTCGCGAATGTGAGGAATTGTACATGGTTAAAGTAGAACGAATACGTGGCACTGTGAAAGCGACACTTTTTGAAATTTGCCAAAAATATCCACATCTAAAGGCATGTGTCATGGGATGCCGACGAACCGATCCATATTGTAGTAATTTGAATGTATTCCAGGTGATTAATGAATTGAAAATTTAAATTGTACAAACGATACAATACGATACTTGTATTGATACAAAACTTTCATGAAAAATATTGACAGAACTGCTATTAGTACCGGATAGGTGCGGGTGTTAGTGAAGGACCGCATTTATTCCATAGAAAATTTCAAGTTCCCCACAAGAAAAGTGCCCGCCCCTCCTCGGTACCTATAACAGCTCTCAATGGTAGTAAAAAGCGGTTCAAATTTTATTTTTGTCTTTCATTTTGATCATTTCTTTACTATGACCAGAAAACCGATATGGGTTGGCCACAATTGATGCGTGTGAATCCGCTGCTGGAATGGACGTGCAAGAATATTTGGGATTATTTACACAAACATAATGTGCCTTACTGTTCGCTTTATAAAATTGGGTAAATTCAAATTATTTCGATTGTTCTGTTCTCGACGGATGATCGGGAGAAATGATTCTAAAGAGGTTGCATCACTTTTTTCTATTCTAGATACACATCAATTGGGGATCGAACGAATACATTACCAAATCCACATTTGAAGCGAATAAGTTCGGTAACTGGGAGAGACGAGTACTTACATGCTGATCAGCTAATCGATGAAGATGAACATGAACGCGCTGGTCGCCTATGACACACAACAAAAAGCAAACTTTAGCCTATTTTACTCTTATTTTGAAACTGAAAAAGAAATGTTGACCTTATGTAATATCCATGTCCATATTGTTACTTAAATGAGTTGTATTTATTTTTGTTGTAAATTCTTCTATTTTTTTTGTGTATGTATCTTTTAAATGCGTTCTCCAATTCTGATGAAGTGATAAAAAGAAAAGAATTATTTAAAAAAAAAAGAAATAAAGAGAGGAAATACGAATAGACTTGCATGTGTATATTCAGCAAATAAATGAAAAATAAATTAAGATTATTTTTTTTTTTCAATTTCAAACAAAATCGTAATTTCAGTTGGTTTCTTGTTTCAAGTTTAATTTTTTTTTTCTATTTTTATTGAATATTTGTGTTAATCATATTACAACTTTTGTTTCATTTCGATTTCATACAGAAATTTTTCACTTATTTACATGCTTTGTTTATTTTTGCAATGACGCAAAATGAAACATCGTCTTCGATTTGGTTGTGTCGAATAAAAAAATTCAAAATATGCATAATTTCATATGTGCACCGGGGATAAATGAACGAAATTGAATGTGACGGTTTTCATGGTGATTTTTGTGATTGGTTTTGCATATCTTTCTGTTGTTGCTGTTGCTTATTAACTAAGTGATGATTTGACGATAAGAATGCCAAATGTCCCTTCGGGCATTTGTTGGCGTAATGCCCTTTGGTACCGCATTTATAGCATGTAATCTCTTCTAATGGTCGTGGTGGTCCACGTGGTTGTGGTTGCTGTTGATGTGGGTCACTATTATCACCATCAATATTCTGTTTAACATAGCCTAATGATCGATATTTGATCTCTTCTTGACGCAACGATGCTTCCCTTTGCTATAAATCGAATAGAGACACAGAGAGAGAGAGAGAATTAATTGAATGTGAAAAAAAACTTTGGCAATGTGTTGTTTTGTTTACCTCTGGCGGCATTTTCTGGCAATAAGACGCTTTGTGACCTTGTTCACCGCAGAAATGGCAGACCGGTGCTCGTTTTTGTTGTTGATCTTTTGTTATCTCTGGCACTGGCGGAAGTTCAAATCTTGGATGCATATATTTACATGTTGTACCATCCGGACAAAATCCGGCTAAATAATTTGTGCACAACACACGTCGTATGTGTCGATGACGACAATTCGGACCATGCCGACAAAATCCACGATCATACCATGGGCAATCTTTTATTTTACTCTCTGGATCGATGTGTAGAAATGGGCATTCTTTATTGTGGCAGGCATTGAAACGCGAATAAAAATAACATTCGGGCATTTTTGTCATATCGTATTCGTGCAAAAATTCACATTGGTCACCCTTTTTACAGAGACCGCGCAACCAATGTTTGCACACAATTGTTCGATCGCCACGAATATGACGGAATGGACACGATGCACCCTGCTGACACTCCGAACCATCGGTACTGTTGAAAAATTGACACACAGCCGCCGTTGATTCTATATAAATAATTTGGTAACATGAAATACAGATTAAATAATTAATATTAAATAACATGAACACTAAGCTGCGACCAAAATACACTTCATTTGCTTTGAGAAGAAAAACAAAAACAATTGTTTTTTTTTTGTTTTTCTTTTGGTTTCATTTGCAAACAACTTGTAAATCGGGTATAACCTCAAATTCACCGGGAATACAAAATAAAACCAATAATTCAAGCAAATTCAAAGCAACAGAGAAGTAAAAACAATCTATCGTTTCGAATGGATACACTTACTGTCCATGCCAGCAAACGGCAACGGCAATGATCCATACTGTTCGTTCAAATCGCGTTCGATTTTGAAATCCAAATGCTCAACATTTGCTATGATAAAATCCATTTTTTTACTACTTGTTCTCCGTTTATCTAACTATCTAATGCAAACACTGTTAAAATATTTTTTTTTTTTCGAAACAATTTGCTTTGGATTTTTTTGTCTTAATGCTGAAAACCAAAATATGGGAAAATACAAATTGAAAAAACCACATAAAACACAACAATTGATATTGAATGTTGGTGTACGACATCAATGAATTAAATATACTAAAAATGTTTGTATTCGGTTCAGTGCCAATGACATTTCAAAAGTGGGACAGCTATGAAATTGAAACGAAAGTGGTCTTGCGGCAAAAATACAAACTGACCCGATTGGAAATGATGGTTGTTCTAAATTATCGTCGTTTACACAGATCTCCATTATCGACATTCAACGATTTGAATTCGCCTTGTTTGTTGCAAACAACAAAATAAATGAAATATTTTCCAGCAAAAAAAACCGACTGACGTTGTAATTTTGAATTCCATCAAAAATGGCTGCACACAAATGTAACAAACAAAAATAAACCATCCATTAAACGTATATCAATTGAAATTTATTTAATAAATGAGTGCGATTCAGTTCGCTGTACTTTCTTCCGTACACTTTGCTTTGAATGTAATGAAAATTAGATATACATTGAACTACAATCGTATTCAGTGTATCCATCTCTTATTAGAAAGAAAATTAACAAAAGACCTTGATTCAAAATGATTTTTTACATTTCATAAGTAAAATTAATCGAATTGATTCAATTTTCAGGATGAGTGTGGTTGGTAAACGAAACTACATGTTCTTCCAGCCGGTCATCATTTTGTCCATCTGCAGCACCTTCAACTGAATGACGACATCCTTTTCCTTGTTGCTGTCAAATAAACAAATCATTTACAAAAGATGCACTTGGAAAAGACGGCAAATACTTTATATCAAAATGCTTACATCAAATCGTACACTCTTCGTTGATAATTTTCTTTGGCCGCTTTGAGTTGAGCGTGAACAGCGTCGTTTTTTTCGGCCACTTCTGTCAATCGTTGCATCTTCAATGCGAACATTTTCTCCAGTTTTTCGTTTTTCTTCGCTACGTCTTCAATTACTGCAGTAACAGAAGCCGCTTGCTGCTCAATATAATAACAATCAGTGGCATTCGAAATTTCAATTGTAATCATTACAACTTACATTTGCAGTCAATGCTTCCTCCACTTCTTTGCACCAACGATCGATTTTCAATTTTCGTTGATCATCAGCCGATTCAAGACGCGTGGAATCTTGGCGGACCGTCAAAACAGCATTCAACACATCTTGCATCGTTGAATTTTGGGACAACACAAAAGTATGGATTTGGCTTGAACGAACATATTGTTCTCGTCGCACTGTCGATGGATTTGATTCAATGTTAACGAAAATCAAAATAATTGTACGTTTGAATATGGAATTACAAAATATAAGCCCCAAGCATGAAAACACTCTAATATTCTATAAAATGAGCAAATGCCAAATCGTGTTGAATTTGTTACTTACTTGCCGAATTTATAGCAAAAATGCGTGTGACTGCGTCAGACAACTGAATCAGCATTGCCTGTTCTTCCATCAACTTCTTTTTTTCTTCGGCAACCTGTTCGGTTGCAGAAAATTGAAATAATCTTTCATTAATACAAATACTTGATTGAACGCGGTTTACATGAAACGGTTATAAACACAGTTTTGAATTATTTTTCTGCTTGATATGATTTTACAGTTTGGTTCAACAATTCGTGACCGAAACACTTTTTCCATAATGTTTGCCTAGGAATCCATAGGGTCAGATTAACCTTCATCATTGTAAGTGGATTTGAAATTACCCTCTTTACAAATTGTGGAAACATTTGAAAGTGAAGACCTTTTTTGATTCGTTACTTTTGTTAGAGACGTAAATTTTTCCAATTTTTGGAAATTTTTCCAATGTTTGAGCTTTCAAGAAATATTCTTCCAAATTGCACTCTTTCGATTTGCTACGGCTTTTTTCTTCAAATTTCAAAATTATCCCTCTTAATTCTTCGTAGATAATAAACCCCCCTTGAATCGCCAATTTCACGAATCTGTATACTTTTTAATGACTTGAACCTTGAGCATTAAAAGACCGTTATGAACACAATTTCAATTATTCATTTATTTGAAAGCTATTCGAGTGTCTTTAACTTATTGAATTTTTGAAGCGAATTTTTCGCATTAACATTCGGTTTTTCCTTAATTTCTTACACTTACCAAATCCTTGAAAAACTGTAGGCGTAATCTTGGCTCCAAACCACTTGGCTCTACCAATGGTGTGTAATCCATTTTTGCAATGCAAAAGTGATTGAACGCGTTTTTGAACCAAAAATATACAACAAATCAACTCAAATTGTATAATTGCTATTTGAATATTTGCGATGCAAACACTGCAATTCTTTACTGAACAACTTGGTGGCGATTTCTATTAACCTGACACAAATGACTGCTGTCGTTTGAATGATTTGCTCGAGAGTGTGTTTGTACTTCAATACATCACCGATCGTCAAATTCAGCGTTTGCTAGAGCAAGAAAAAAAAGCGATTTGAAAAATAGCATCTCTCATCAGGTCAACGGTAGAATGAATCAAAATCTGTTATTCTGCGTCGAAAAAGAATCCTTTGATATATTGGCACTGAAGTTTTTATAAAAATGCATTTTTTCTGCCTATTTTACAATAAATTGATTTGAAATTTGAAGCATCGTGTTGATGATCGGAATTTACAACAGTAAACAGTTCACACATCCAATGCGAATCGACGAAAATTTGTGGATAGTGTTTTATGCAGACAACGCATTCATTGTTAATACATTCCAATGTTGTTGATAAACAAAGTTGTAAAATTGATGATTGAGTTAAGAATAGTCATGGTTAATTTTTGGTTTTTAAACGAACCGCGTTTTATTGTAAATACAATTAACTAAGAGGCAGTACTGTCATGTGCTGTCACACGCTGACAGCCACCACTAACAATACGATGCCATATGTGATTTGTGTTAGGTGAGATTTTTTGAATAATGATTTATCTCACATTTTACCATCAAGGTGCTTCATCGAAGCCTATGTATGAATTTGGGCTATAAAATTTGGTTTTATTCATGAACAAAAAAAAAGATTCTATTTTTTGCGTAAAAAGTGGGAAGAGCGGAGAGGGAGGCATAGAACAAAACTTTTTTTTCTATAAATGGTCTTTCAATAAAACAGAAAAAAATACGCATAAATCAGCACACACATATTCATCGAGAGCAAACAGCGCCACAAGAACATAAGAACAGCACTCAGCGGCTAGCGAGAAAGTAAGAATCGAGAAGTAAGAACCGAATTAGCATACAGCAAGTTCGAGCACGAATTGACGAATCGAAGAATGATGGAGAGAAAAAAAAGAACTGCTGCCACTTCTTGTGTTTCTTCTTCTTCGTTTCCATGTTTTTTGTATTGCCTATTTATTCGCCTATTTTATTTGTATTTTAAAAACGATAAATTCTATTACGTATACGTGACCGCTCAAGACAAGCGAAGAAGTAGCGACGAGCAGAGCGCGCAGGAAGATAGAAAAAAACGACACATGCACAACGGCAGCAACATACATGTAATGGCGATATACCGAAAACACACTTCTCGCCTCAATTGGCTAAGTTTTTCACATTTTTATTTGTCAATGTTTGCGTTTTACACGATATAATCGTTTGTTGCTTGGGGTTTCTTTTGGTCGTTCGCTCTTTCTCTCCCTCTCGTTGTCATTCTCACACTTGCTGTCACTGTCTTTCTCCTGCTGTGTGTTGCCGTTGCCAAGGGTCTCGCTCTGGCATTTTAGGAGACGACCGAGAGAAGAAAAAGAAGAAGAAGAAAAAACGCCATGCATGTATGAAATATTGCTTGCTGAATTGAGCGCGTTTCAATAAGTATGCAATTTGTAACTATGTGCGTATATCGCGTTTGTAAGTGAGCGAATGCGTGTATTTGTGCATGAGCCATCCATCTACTCTATGCTATGCTCAATGTTTCTTGCTCTTGTTCTGTTCTCTTCTCTCACTTTCTCATTCGTAATCCGTCGCTCGCATATAAACAGCCCAGCACACACTTACACATACAAACACACATTCTATCTCTCTCTGTGTATCTCTTTCTTTCACTTGATCTCACTGTACGCCTCACATACGTACACTGTGTATGACGTTTTTATTTCGCCTGTTTTTGTTAATAGTGTATTCGCTTGATTCTGCTCTCTCTCACTTATTCAATGTCTCACACTCTCATTCAGTGTGTTTTAGAATAAGTAAGCGATGTTCGTATGTGAATTCAAACTATTGAAAATTCCGTCGGTAATAAGCAAACGAATTCGTGTTCCAGTGAAATGTTCAATTTTTGTTAATAATACATACAGTCAGTTTAATTTCATCATTAAAAATCAAGCATTTTTATTCGTCAAACAAATTGCTTAAACAAAATATCGTCGAAAAAACGTATAGAAGGATAGAAAAGACAAGAAAAAAAGTGAATATATTTGTTCGGCGTATTAAAAGTCTCATCGTTTTCCTGCGGTATCAAAAACTATATATACACACATATATATATAAATACAAAGATGTACGTATATCGGATCATTGATAGAGAATGAGTGAGTTAGTGAGATTGTGTATGTGTGTGTATGTGAGAGAATGCATGTATGTGTGTGTGTGTGTGTGTTTGTGTGTAAAATTGTATGTGCAATAAATGAATCGTTGTTTTGGTTGATTTCATTCTGTTGCTGTTGCTCGCACATTTTTTACTTCTTGCCACAAGTTTGAAACGAGCGAAGTGAAATGAGCCATACAGAGCACACCATCACGGCAATACGATACTAAGCTCAAACAACAACAACAACACGAAGAAGAAACTGAAACAAAAAAAAACATCTATTGATTGATTTTGTGCTCAGCTCTTAGACAAAATAGTGGGTATAATATATTTGTTCGACATTTCGCATCTTCGACAAAGTAGTGTTGTACACATTGTTTGTCATATCTGAATAAGTTCGGCATTTTTTTTTGCTTTTGCTTCAAAATAGAATAATCAGTAAAATATCACATAGAGAATCGGCGTGTGTGTGTTGTTTCGGTGCGGTTTGGCCTATCTAAATTATTCCGTATTTTTTTTTTTACTTCGTTGAATATTTTGTAGTTTTTGTGTGCGTATTTATGCACAGTACTGTTTTGTCGTAAACAGTAAAGAACGAAATGTAAGTGAGTGCGAAATAAAAGTGAGACAACAAAACGAAACGAAGCAACCCAAAACCAAGCGATTCAAATACACAAGAAGCAACAACAAAAAGTAACCAAGTAAATTGAACAACAACAAACGCGCGACACACGACACCAAATTAATGACAGAAATAAAGTGAAAAATATATATATATTTTAAGTTCAAAGCAGCAACATCAGAACAGTGTATGCGTGTGTTTGTGTGCGAAGAAACACACAAGAAATTGAAGAGGAAAAAAAATCCACAACAAACACATAAAGAACCGTACACCAATCCGTGTATGTGAACAAGAGAGAAAAAAAATTGTATATTTTTTTATATATCTCACCGAATAATAACAACTTACCAACAACAAAAAATATTAAAATACACATTCGAAAAGGGAAAAAAAAGCACACCGAGAATTCTTTATTCGCGCGCGCGTTCAATCTCTCATGTAAATGTGGCTATTACACATATTTTATGTGTGTTTTTTGTTTCTGTCGCCGTCGTCGTTGTTGCCGTCGTTTGCTTCTGCACTGTGAATGTCGTTCGCATTTTTTAACTCGTTCAATAGCCATCGCGTTTTGAAATGAAATTATCGAATTATTGTGCAGCAATAAGCATAATTATCGGCAAACAAAAAAAAGAATCAGATCAACCAGAAATACTGGCGACACGATACATAAATTCCTTGTGCATTTTCGTTCAGTTTGTTGTCATTTTAGATGGTTGTTGTACGAATGAATCGAGTAAAAGAGAGCGAGAGAGAAAGAGAGAAAAAATAACCCGTACATGAAATCTTTTTTTTTTTTAGTTTGTGTGTGATTCTGATAAATTCAAAGCGAACGTTTCACGAAATTGATAGTGGTGTGTTTATGTGAAAACAAGAAAAATAAGAAGAGATAGAGCGAAAAAGAACCAAAAAAAACCAACAACAACAAAAAAAAGATTTGTCGTTGAATTTGGATTAAATCGGAAATATCTCGCATATTGAATCAGAAAAGCGAAGAAGCAAAATTTAAAGTAAACGAGGAAACAGGGATTTACACAAATAGAAACCCAAATACACGCAATAATATACAATATATTTTTTCGGTGTTGCTTGCATTGTGTACAATACATTCTGAAATTATTTGTTTCTTTAGTCACATCCAGTCGGCTGACAGCAATTACAACAAAACAAAACAACAACACAAAAAAAAATAGACGACAGCAAACGACAAATATTTCATGTGCTTTTATGTGTATGTGTGTGAGTGCATTGCATCAAAAAAATAAAGAAATAATAATTGGAAATTGGACACGCTGATTGGAAAATTTTGATTTAATTTTGCATACAAAAATCAGGTAAGTGTCAATACCGCAAATTCATCAAGCATTTTCAGCGATAAATAAAATAAAAATGAAAAGAGAAAGAGATAGATTTCTGCAGTAAACAAAATCGATGTCGACCACTTCGATTGTATTTGAATCAATGTTTGCTAGATTGAGTTGTTGTTTTTTTTTTTCTACTCTCGGGCAATGTGCATTTCATAGTGTTTCATTATAGTGTTTTAACATAATTTATTGGTTATTTTTGTCGGTTGTCAAATTATGGTTACAAACCAAAATTCGGAATTACCAAAATAAATTCGGAGAATGTGAAAATGCAAATAATTTTGTGCAAAATTTAGAATTTTAAGCCGATTTTGATGCAATATAAATAACAAATGTGTTTGACAGAAAGAGAAATCAAATCCGAAATTCAAATTCAACGTGAAACGAATTAGTATGTTCATTAAAAAAGATTTAATATTGACAAACAATAAAACTTAAGATCGCATTTAACAAAAAAATGGCACAAAACTATCATCAAATATGTGTAAAAATCTATCAATTTTTGTTTTATTTGAGATGCAAACAAGCATTTATAATTTTCGTTTTCGGTCGGTTTGTCAGCCTGTCATCCTGATTCATCGCACGCATTTTTATCCATTTCGATTGGCAATTTTGACGGAATACATTACATGCATAACATCAAATGAATTCGCAAACACAGTAATCAATTAAAACAGTGTACCAAGACAAGAGAAATGAACGCAAAAAAGTGTGTAAAACATTTTTTTTTCTCCCTGTCGTTCGATTCATTTCCAAAATGGCTGCCGTCGGCTTCTCGGATTTTGCTGCTGCTGCTGCTTGTTATAATGTTGTTGCTGTTGCTGCCGTGGTTATTGTTGTTGTTGTTATTTGTGTGACTTAGTGTGTTTGTTCTGCTTGCCCGTGTGTGAGTGTGGATGTGCATATTGACGTGTGTACGAATGTATGTGTGCGCGCGATGTGAATATTATGGTAAAGCGATGATTATTTTCAGTTCGTTTTTTTTTGTGTGGAGCGCGCGCGTGTGTATTTGTGTGTGTATGCGTGCATATGAATATCAGCGCATAGCCATCACACATTCACATATTTAAAATCAATTCTCTCTCGCTCTCTCGGCGGATTGAAAAGCAAAAAATGAGAGAGAAGTGCTTGAAGCATACACAGCTTGCGTCAATCGTAAAATCTATTGTAAACGGAGCAACCAACAGAATATATACACATATAATAAGGACCATGAAATAGTATGTAGAAGAATGAACACATGTATAGAACTTTCCATATCCATATGGGCACCGTTTGCCGAACAAATTTTAAACGAGCAATGTGCACTCTCTTTCTCTCGCTTGCAGTTCGCTTCAAATTCAAAAAAAAAAAATGATTTTTTTTTGCTGCAATTGATTTTAAATCGTGTTGTTGCATTTGTCGATGGATAGTCGCCTAATGCGACACGATGAGCATTTAGGTGTTTCGTCTCGTTATATATATAAGAGGCTTGGTGTATGAGCTGCAATCGATGCCGCTTCATTTCTGCTGCCTATTCAAGCTTCTATAGATCTTGCTGAATATTGGCTGTTACGCGCGCAAATGTATGCATTAGTGCACCTAAATTTTCATGTGATTTCGTTCAAACGCATCGGACTACAACGAATTTTTTTTTTCTTCTCCCGAAAAAATGATGGCCTCTTGTTCCCATGCCACTAGTGTCGGTTCAAATAATTTTTGTTTTTTGTTTTCGTTAACCTCTTTGTGTGTTTGCGTTCATTTTTGTGTCTTTCTTTTTATCTCATTTTATTTTTGTGAGTTGTTTATATGTACGTTGCACAAGATGAAAAGGTGAAAAAGAATCGAACGAAATAAAGTAAAACGACGAAAAAATACATTGCACTGTTAGTGTATCTGTTATGTATCTTTCTAGGTCCCCGTAATGTATCACATAACGTCAAACGAAGAACAATATATATATATACATATATATGTTTAGCACGGCGCGCGCGTTTGAAAGTGCGTCGTCAACTTTGTTTCGTTTCATATACAAATACAAATATAAAATTCATACAAATGTGTGTGCACCGTTTTGGGTCTCTCCCATTGTTCCCGAGAGCAAATAAACGATCAAAAACGATATGTGTTGTAATTCATGAATATTAATTGTTGGTTGCGTCTTTTGTGCATGCATGTCTTGATAATGTAATAAAAATCAATGAAAAATTACCTTGTCTTACCTTGTCATTGCTTACCAAAGCACAGAAACATAGACGCATCGACGTTCGATGCACACACGCACACTCTCAATACATACCTTCATTATAATTTCGTAAATATAAAATCGTCTCATCAACATTTGGTCTCATATGCATCTGCTCTTTGTCTAAAAGTTGCTCGAAATTATCTGTCCATACCGTATAAAAATGATGGCAACAACAACAAAAATGGATATTCCGATGCGACGATTACCATTACACATATATCGAAACGTGATGTGATACTTAAAATAAATACATTTGGATATTTATACGGCAAAAGTGACCGAACAACAACCATTTGAAATTCCGAAATGCAATCGCCGTGATGTGTCGTGTCTCGCTCAACCGTCGTCGTCGTCATTGTCGGTGATTGGCGATGCTGCAGCAAATAAACGGTTACATGCACTGAAAATGAAACACAATAGAGACATCAACACCAGAGACAGATATTGTGCGATTCAAAAACTTGGCGAAAAGTGCGATAGAGCCATAGCCAAATGAATGTTGTTAAAACATACTCATATATGCCAGCTCATGAAGACCTAATCAGAATGCAATTGCACAAAATACAAACTCTTTTCTCGTTGTTGTTTTTTGTGTGCTTCTTTCGTCTGATTGAATTCTTTTCATATGCCATGCATATATTGAGATTTCGATGCATCTAAATAGCATAGTCCGCGCGCGCAAATTGAGTGACTGTTGTGCGTGTAGATATGGTTGGAATTGAAAATGTTGGCATAACGGATCCGTTGATAGACACACATATACAAAAAATGATCCCAGCAATACAACGGAGGCTACTTGATAATGATGTAAAATTCACATTACAAAAAGTTTGACCAAAGAACAATAACAAAAACGCACACGATCATTGTGTGCAATTGAGACGAGAAGTGGGCACGAGTGCAATTCATTGGTGTTGAATGACACGCACGTCGGGTTCGAAAGAGAGGGAGCGAGAGAGAATAAACAAAACCAAAACAAAAACAAATTAATTCTATTTTCAAGCATTTTAACAAACAACTCTTGCTTAGATATTCAAATTAAAATTGTGTGCGCGCAATTTATTTATCATCTAAATCATCGCTCGTCAAATTAGAATAGATAATAAACTTAAAACGTTTGAAAGCGAAATAGATAGACATAGACCAATGACAATTGTGCATATTACGGGCACATGCATGATTTATTAATATTTAATGAGCAGAACAATGTGTATCCGATTTGAACTCACTTGATATAGTATACATATTTATTTATTTTTTCGCTTGAATTTTACTATCTATTTATGTTTCACACATGCTATCATTTTTTCGTCATATCAAAATACAAAGAGATGAGAATTATTGTTTGTGTACTCTTTTGCTGTTGATGCGACGGGAATTAAAATGAGTCAAAAGCGCAACAAGTTGGTTTCACATCAGCATACGTGATATATCTAGTTTCAAGAATGTTTGTTGTTGGTTTTGTTTTCGCTCTGCTGTAGTCTTGTCTTTCGTTTAGCAATTTATTTGCGCTCGCGCGTCCGTTATCGCCAAAAGAAGGTCGATTTTTGTTGTTGTTGTGGTTGTCATAAATACTCAAGAGACGAAGACATGAAAAATGGCAAAAAACGCAGCATAAAATTGAAGTCAACATATTGAAGGTTATTTATGTTCATCGAAAATTTTGCGCCACAACTGTATTGCAAACGAATCGACAACAAAGAAATGAAAACGAGTTTGTCAGTATACAATGTCTTCCGAATTACAAATCCAATCGATTCGAGGTGTAATTCAAATAAATTTCGTTCGCTATTTGTGTCGAGCTACGATTGATTTTTATGTGTTGAATGACAACTGCATTAGGGACAGTTGTTGAACTAATTCATTTGTTTTGTTTTCAACCCAGCGCACGGTTACGCGCACAGGTAAAAGTGTACACACGCTCCATTTCGATTCTATCATTTGTCTCATTAATTTATAGTCATATACTAATCGTATCTAACCACAATTGCATATTTTGAATGTGGTTCAGAGGCGCGCATCAAGAACACAGACAAATGGCGACCAGAGGGACAGCTAGGCTATTTAGCAGCAAAACAACAACAACCAAAATTACACATTAACAAAACGAATGCGAACAACAAGAATAAAAAAAAGAACACATTAAAATAAAAACGCGCGCTCGTTCATTTTTACGTTTGGCCACAAAACATATGTGTGTGTATGTGCGTTGGGTGTGTATGTGTATATGTGTGATGTGTGTGTGTGTTGGGAAAAGTGCAATGTGTGAATGCCATATGTGTGCAAGGCATATACATCCTGATATCGTCAAAAACGGCAGATGTATTGCATGGTCTAAATGCTCGTACAGAATCACACATACACACCGCAGCACGGCTGACAATACAAAGAGCTGAAAAGAGAAAGGGTAGACAGGAAGAAATGATGATCACTATACAATGATGTTGATATGGATGACAATAAAACTGACACAAATACACAGATCCCAATTAATACGCATCACGGGTATAAGACAGAGGCGATCCGAGAAGGAAACGTTGATTCGCACACAAAATTACATTTATCTCGTTGTATATCGACGATTAAATGTATTCTTTGCATAGTAGACGCTTTACTTTGTTCCTTTTCCTTTTCCTTCTGCAACGTCTTATATTTGAATACGCACCATGTAACGGCAGCAGAAGCAAAAGTAGCAGCAGTCGTTTTGTATCGATGACTGGCGTCTCTATACTCATTCTGGATA